TCATTACTTATTTACTGCTGTACGTACCCAGGACACCTTTGGAAGAAATAAATCTGGTCAGTGGCTCTCCCAAATTTGATCAGAATATCTTATAAGATATAAATTATGACATTATATAATTATTAATATTCTTCATATGACTGGCACAGATTACAGTTTACAGAAACTTTTTCACAGTTCTTCCTGGGCACCCAATGTTCAGAAACTCTCAGCTCTGAGGTGCGGGTCAGAGAACTGAGACTCAGCATTCTGAGTGACACAGCAGAGGTCACCTGAGCGAGAAGCCTCACATACTGGCACAAACCCAGGTCTCCTGCTGCGGGCTCTAACTCTGTGAAACTTCACTGAGGATCAAGAGTTTGCTGTGCATTATGACTTGTTTTCAGCGACATTAACCCAACTTTTTATATAATCCAAGCCCATTAGAGCCTAAGTTTGAATTTGAAGTCTTCCGTAGAACAAATACTAATGTTTTCTGTACAGCCATAGGCAAGCTGGGAGAGTCATTCTGGTGATCTCTCACTGATAAGCAAGTGAGTAGTTTATATTCACCACAATATTAACAATGGCTGGGCTACAGTTGTGGCAGTCAGCGGCAATTCTACGATGTGTAGAATTAGGATCCTAATCAGGGGATTGTACCGATAAAAGGGGACAAAGATCCTCACAGAACAGAGATCAGGTTACACAAGTGATTTGATGACCTTTATTACTGACAGGCTGTTAGGGCACATTTAAATAATGAATGTGCATGGTTAGAAGTCTGATAGGCCTTCCAATTAACATCAGCTGCATTCGTTCTACCTCATACATTTGTGTCCAACAGGAGTAGAAGGAGAGAAAGAATAAGATATACCGATAAAGAATTTGTATAGCTAAGTCAGTACACTGGAATTGTAAAGGTTTCTTCTAAGCATCCCGCTGGAATGACAAACCCACGACATCTTCCACTTCTATTTTGTATATACCTTTGTATATACAGTATATGCTATACATACATACATTCATACATACATACATACATACATCCCTGTAGAGAGGTCTTCAATAAAACAAATTACTCTTCCACCAAAAACTTTAAAGTATTCCATACTTTATCATCCTTCTCAGGAAAATTTTCAGAGAAAAAGAAAATCCCTCTTATTCAGGGACTTCTACACTATATTTGCCCTCAATCTTTATGCAGACCCAGAAGAAATTCTACTGAGCAAACTGAAAGAGAGAGTATCAGAAGAGTGGTCCTTCTTTCTCATCACCAGATAGCATGCAAACAGCCTTGCTCATGGAACACTTTCCAGTCTAACTGAAACTTAGGCTTTGCAAATCCAAGTAGGGCGAAGCCATCCCGCATTCTTCTCTCCTAGAGGAGCATTTCAGTGCAAACCCCAACGGCTGGACACGTGCGATTCCTCAAAAGGAATAAATTAGCTATTGAAGCTCACCCCAGCAGTCAATGGAGCGCATTAACTCCCTTAATAAACACACTGCCTGGAAAATTTTACTCATTTCATAATAAAAACAGATTAAATCATAGCTTTGAACTGAAAAGTAATTGCTCTTCAACTATGTGTTAAGACCAGATGCACCCATTTTTTTAAAAAAAAAAAAAAGGAGATAAACAGAAAATACAATTTCTCAATTATATTTGGAAACTATCAGAAAGAAATGAAATGAAAAAATAAGGAATGTAATACATCATTTGTGTAGGCCAGTAGATGGGGTAAATGTCTGCCATATATTTTTATTGGATATTTTAATTATATTTCAGATGTTATCCCCTTACCCCATTCCCCCACCCACCCAGGAAGCCCCTATCCCATCCCTCTTCCCCCTGCTTCTATAAGGATGTGTCCCTACCTATCCCTCCACTCCCACCTCCCCACCCTGGAGTTCCCCCACACACAGTGTCCAGCCTTCATGGGACCAAGGATCTCCTTTCCCACCTATGCCTGACAGGGCCATCCTCCCTTACATATACAGCTGGAACCATGGGTCCCCCTCCAAGTGCTCCCAAGCTGGTGGTTTAGACCCTGGGAGCTCTGGTTGGTTGGTATTGTTGCTCTCCTCATGGGGCCACAAACACTTTCAGTTCCTTCAGTCTTCACTCTAACTCCTCCATTGGGAACCCCTTGATCAGTTCAGTGGTTAGCTGTGAACATCTGCCTCTGAATATGTCAGGCTCTGGCAGACCTCTAAGGACACAGCTATATCAGGCTCCTGTCAGTATACCCTTCCTGACATCCACATCAGTGTCTACCTTTGGTGACTACACATGGGATGGATACTCAGGTGGAATGGTCTCCAGACGGCCCCTCCTTCAGTTTCTGCCCCACACTTTGTCTCCATATTTGCTTCCTTGAGTATAGTTTTTCTTTAGTTCATTAATTTAAAAAGAAGTTACAAAACAATTGGGTACCAAAAATTAACTTTTTTGGTCAAGTATCTAAAAATTAAGGTATTCAAATGAGACTACGTTGTGTTACTCCATAACCCATTGAAGTAGCTAGCAATAGTTTTGTTTATCAAATTTATTTATATTTCCAAAAATAATCTGTTAAAAAAATGCAGTGTTACTTTTGTGCCAGCACTGTGACCAAAATCCCAACAACTTAAAGAAAGAATGATTTGTAAGTCCTCATGATATAGAGAGTTCTGGAGGGCATCAATGTATGCCACTACCTTCCTCTTTCTGACCCTCTTATTCTACTTTCTCTGGAAATGGACACACACACACACACACACACACGCCTAACTCATTTAGATTAATCCAAATCCAGTATAGTTGACAATAAGGTTTAACCATCACAAATAATAATGAGGATTTGCAGTGATTTTCAACGAAGACTACTGAGAAGAGCTTAACAAAATGGAAGAGGAAGAAATTCAAAGTTATATGTAGCAAACAAATTATACTAACTATAAAAAACATGATGCTACTATCAATAATCAACAAATTTGGGTTGAGTCTCTGTTTAACAATGATATGAGAAACTTCATTTAAATGATCTCAAAGAGGAAACAATCTCCTTGGGGTTACAATAAATTCCTAGACAATAAATCCTGAAATAATGTTCACAGCCAGAATGTTTGTATTATCAGAGTGCCAAGTAGACTAAGGGACAAATCTTCCAAAAAGAGTAATTGATTTTTGTCGTTTTTTACTTGTGTTAGTAACAAATCTTAAAGCTATGCTTACTGCACAATGCAAGATGTATTACACATAAATAAGACAATGTAGCACGTGCGTTAACATTCTAATTTGCTCGGTGATTAGGAAAAGCATATCCTAGAAATGACCTTCTTTAAATTTCACCTTCTAAAAATTTCTTTAAATTTTTTTAAAAGGAAGGAAAGACTCACTTACTTATAGCTGAGCCTACACCTGAGGCTGAAGCTCACACATTTTATTTTGAGGAGAAAAATGAATGCCAGCTCTTGTGGACTAAGATCAGCCACCAGACCCAGTGCTCATTCTTACAGTCTAGGATCATCTACAAAGTACCTAACTCAACAACAAATGAGCTTTTTCATCTCAAAGAGTTTTAAGCAGTTCAAATAGTGTTCCCACATTAAAGCCTTTGAAGGGGCAGGAAAGAAATAGTGTCGGTGTGCATTTGCATGTTACAACAAATCATACAAGGGAATCACGTAAGTGAGCATGGAGTCACCAATGAGGGGGGAGTTTGTTCTTTTTCTCATACCCATTCCTTTTACATGGCGATGTCCTGTCTACACACCAGGAAAGACTGCCCAAACATGGGTTTAAGCCAATAAAAAGTCTTTTTTTAAACAGGTGGTGACTACACTGAGTGTGTTCAGGACTCTAATGTAGCACTGGAGTCTTTCTGGGGGTGAGCTTTTAAACACAAAAATCGTGTTCTGGATTGACATACTACCACTAGTAAGAACAGTTAGCTGCAAGTGGAACAAAAGAATTCAAAAGGCAAGGTTAGTACATCGAGAGACTATCCTAGAACTATGGACTTTGATGGATTAGATCTTTGTTTTTATTTTAGCTGGCAAGGCTATCTACATGTTGAGTTTTATGACCTGAAGGGTATTTCCAGCCTGGAGTCAGTTGTGCTAAGGTTGAGGGGCCTGGTACAAAGTTAGCTTGACAGTATAGAAATAGAAACATATGTCATTCTTGCATCGATCCCAGCTCATAAAGACTGAGTTGGTATGAAGCTTATCCTTGTTCAGCCTTGCTACTTCAGAATAATCAATTTCATCTCCACATTTTTCTCTATCCTGTTCTGTTTTATCAGTTGAAAATGAAGAGTGGGGACAGATCAAGAGGCACCTGATAAGACCTTGCCACTCTCAATCTGTTTCACTGCTTGTGTTTGTCTACAAAGAATTTCCCTGTGCTTCACACCAAGCAGTGATCTAAGCTTCCCAGCCACCTTGCATGTCAGCTTATGTATAATGACAGTTACAGGAGGACTCTCATGTGGTAGCATGCATATAAAGATCTTTTCTTCTCTGCAAGTTTAAATAGGAGTCCGAGCTATGGCCACATGATGCTGAGTGCTCAGAAAATGTTGTCCCCAAAATTACTGGAAGGCTTCCTATTCTTGTGCATATTACGATATCGACTCAGAATGTCCATCTTCCTAGTACTTGTAAATCAAGATCCTTCCCTGTAACTGCTTAAGCACTCTTGGATTTGTTCCTTTAATGGGAGGAACTTAGTGGGTGTTATGAATGTTGACATTAATTCCTCAAGGAGTGATTAGTATCTCAATATGTATCCACCAGTCATGGTGTATTGTCTCATAAGCCCATCTACTGTTTTTCATAAGAAATGAGATCACATGTGTAACTTTTCTGAATTGATCTGAATTTTCTGAAGAGAGGACACAGATGGTGTCATTCCTCACATGTCTTTCCTCTTTTCACTGCCATCCAATAGAAAGTGGAGTCTTTAGATAGGTTATGACCATAAGGAAAAACCTATTAATATTTTGCTAAATGAATACAGTGATAAAATGGCTCCTAATGACATATTTCTATATCAGTGATCAGTGCAAAAGGGGAGGCAGAAAGATCGTAAGAGTCAGAGGTGGTGGAAGACTCCAGGGAGACAGTATTTTCCAGACACAGTGGGGATGATGCACATATGAACTCACATAGACTGTGACAGCTTACACAAGACCTGTACAGGCTCAGGCCAGACAAAAATCCCAGCACAGAGAAGGGAAAGTGGTCATAAAGTTCTACCACTAGCCAACAAGCTAATTGAAATGGATTCTTGCTTGGAGAGGTTAAATTTCTTTTCTTCAGTGAAATGGCCACATTTAAGTAGATATCAATCAAATTCCAGAGTAGGCTCCAGTGTGTTGCTGCTGTTTTCTTATGGTTTGGTGTTTCTTGTCATTTTTTGTCATTTTGTTGGGTTGTTTTGCTTTTGAAGAAAGAAAAAAGACAAGAAGAAAAACAGCACATGAAATTGGATGGGAGGGAGGTAGGAAGACTTGGAAGAGTATGATCAAAAATATTATATGAACAGTTTAAAATAAAATTTTAATGTGAGAAAAGTAGAGTTGACATAACCTAGACTTATCAAACCTCCTGCCCCAGCCTTCCATAGTAGGATAACAAGCATATACCCCCATGCCCAGCTGTCATAAAGATTTTTCACTTCAACATGAAACTACTCATTTTTGAATATAATAATAATAGCTCATTCATTGTAAACAATGAAAAGTGGATGAATCATATTATTCTAGTATGCTTTCTATTGCTGAAATTAAACACTGAGCAAAACCAACTTGTGGAAGAAAGGGTTTATTTAGGATCTCTCAACATCAATGTACTTGACTCACCAATAAAAATACATGGGCTAACAGATTAGACACATGAAGAGGACCCAGCATTTTGCTGCATACAGTAAACACACCTGAGTGACAAAGACAGACACTACCTCAAACTAAAAGGCTGAAAAAAATGTTTCCAAGCAAATGGTCCCAAGAAACAAGTTGGAGTAGCCATTCTAATATCCAATAAAATAGACTTTCAAACAGACGTTATCAAAAAAGATGGAAAAGGATACTTCATACTCATTGTTCCTATCTAAAGGAAACATGGGGGGTGGGGGTGGGGAATGGAGGAAAAGCCATCCAGAGACTACCCCACCATGGGAACCATCCCATCAGTAGACACCAACCCCAACAATATTGCTGATGTTAAGAGGTGCTTTCAGACCTGGTATGGTTGTCCTCTGAGAGGCTCTACCAGCACCTAAGACAAATGCAGATACAGCCAACCATTGGACTGGGTCTGAGGATCTCTATGGAAGAGTCAGAGAAAGGACTGAAGGATCTGAAGGGGTTGCAACCCCATAGGAAGAACAGTATCAACTAACCAGACCACCCATAGCTCCCAGGAACTAAACCACCAAACAAAGAGTATATATGGGCTAGTCCATGGCTCCCACTACATATGTAGCAGAGGACTGCCTTATCTGACAACAATGGGAGGGGAGGTACTTTGCCTGTGGAGGCCCATTGCCCCAGAGAAGGGGGATGCTAGAGGGTTGAGGCAGGAGTGGGTAGGTAGGTGGGGGAGCACCATCTTAGAGGCAAATGGGAGGGGCATGGGGATGGAGAGGGGGGTTTGTGGAGGAGACCAACAAGGGGGACGACATTTGAAATATAAATAAATAAAATAATTCATAAAATTTTTCAAAAAAAGCATAACATTAAAAGTCCCGTGGTCTTTTAATAAAAATATAAACACTTTTAAAATGCCACTATCTCCCTATAACACCCAGAGTCTCTTAACTATTATAAGTTCCTGATAAATCCAAAATAAATTATCTTCTAATTTTATTGTAAAAGTGAAGAGCCAGGCCATAGTTACAAATCAGACTAAAGCAAAACCAAAATGCAGCCATGTGAATCCCTCAGTTTGTGATGTCTGGATCTCACTCATGATTTTAACAGCCCCACTTACCTGGCTCTGCCATCCACAACACACGCAATCTGCCTCATATGTTCAGGACAGCTCCCCTTCACAGCTCCTGCTGTCCTTGGCAGCCATCCAACAGGCCTGGAATCTCAAATATTCTGGAGTCTCCACTGCAACTGATGTTGCACCTTCACCAATAGCCTTTCTGCATGCAAGCTTCAATTCTGCCAAGCAGTGCTACAGCTTAGTTGCTCTCCATGACCCCTTCATGTGGAAGACTCTCACACAATAGTTGCCAAGTTCTTCAGTCACCTTGGTATGCAGTCCTGACCCCGCACTGGGATGCAACCTGTACTGGCTCTACGAAAGAAAGTATTCCTTCATACATGTCATTTCAATAATGCTATCCCACATTAATCACAGCTGATTTTCAGCCTCACCTAGCCAGTGTCTACCATGCTAGCAAAGCAAGCATTTTATTCCAGAGTCTCAACTCGTATTTATTATATAAAAGCCCTGATAAATCTAGGAAGGATTCTCAAACTTCTCTTAAAATTTTCACAAGTCATATGAGCTTCCATCACCTGCATGTCTCTCAGTTCTTCTCTTACCAACTCCCACTTTTAAAAGGACATTACTGAGCCCTACCTGGTTTTAAATGCTTCCACAGTCCTCTCCAAAACAACATGGGAGGTCAGCACCAGCAACCTCTCATTCTCTGGTACCAATTTATATTCTTTTGCATGAGAAGAGGGAGAGGGAGAGAGAGAGATAGGGAGAGAGAGAGAGAGAGAGAGAGAGAGAGAGAGAGAGAGAGAGAGACAGAGAGACAGAGAGACAGAGAAAAAGACAGAAAAACAGAGAGAGACAGAGAGATGGAGAGACAGAGAGACAGAGCACTGAACAAAACCAAGCCAAGAAGGAAATAGCCTAATTTAAAGTACAGATTATTTTGCCCTACCTCCAGAGAAGTAAATTTTATAAATGTGTCATGAAGCTGAGAACTGGGCATTTTAAACCAGTGCTGACTGTGGATTCAAAAGAGGAGCCCACTGACCACTCTTTGTGGTTCACCGGGCTGAATCATCAATGCATACTATGAACAGTGGGATGGTGGAAACATCACTGACTTGGCAATACTCTCAGTCGATGCATCTGAGAACAAGTTCCTCTGTAGTTACTGCCAGGACTTTCCAGTTCCCCCAGCTTCAACTTCAGGATATGACTTCCACCCTCCCCATGTTTACAACTTCAAAATGTTAATAAAACATGATAAGTGCAAAAGTCAAAACAAAGTAGGAGAGGTGACGTGCAAGTAATGGACGGCACACTCTTAATCTAAATCATAGATATTTATTCACTCTCTCAGTAACCGAATCCTAACCAAATGAATTTGTAATATATTCCAGTCTAGTTTTATTAGGATTTGTGCTGTATGGGTAAATGTGAAAACAAAGAAAATATATTGCTACATCAACTTCCATTATTCATGCATATAAAGTTCTGTGTACCTGCCCACACGACTGAGAAGATGCATTAGGAAGTCGATTACAATAACAAGAGAAGGTTATTTGAGTCAAATCAAAACAATAAATGGGCTAGAGAAAAATTGTAAAATATTTGTTTTACATTTTCCTCCTGTGACACATAAAACACTATCCTCTCTAAGAGATTATGAACATTTCTACTCTGTCATGCCGCATAAACTAGTGATTTGTTTAGAATCACTTCTGTCTCAAAAGTTACAGGAGCTTCCTTGTACTTTATAGAAACTGTAATTTTGATTACTACAATTGCTGAATATTACAGTTGTTATTTATAATTATTCTCCGATAGTTGCAAGCATAAAAGACACTTTAACAAAACTCTAATTTTCTAACTTACTAGATTCACCACACTTAGCTGTCCTCTGTAAAGTACAGCCGTATACACTGACAGTGTGGAGAGTACTTGTATATCTTTGACAACTCTCTTATGCTCTTCTTCTCTTAAAGGGCAGCACATGCCACCAAGAGTTAGCTGTGCATGTTCACAACTGTGCCTCTCATCTCTCCTTTTATGTTATCTGACTTTGTTAAATGCTACAGGGTCACATGAAGATGGTTCTAAAATAAATACATGTTCCTTTGAAAACTGAAATGAGTGTTTGAAGAAACTTGTTCATTTAAACAATGAAAGAAATCAAGAAAAATCCTATTCAAATAGCTTTTTCAAAACTCTAGGAATAAACCTAACCAAGAAGGAAAAACAACATTTGCAATAAAGACTTTAAGACACTGAAGACAAAAATTGGAAAAGACACAAAGAAATGGAACAATTTTCCATGCTTATGGATTAGCAGAATTAATACTGTAAAAACAATGACTATAGAGCTAAAAGCAGCCTACAGATTCATCATTCCAATTACATTCTTCACAGAACTAGAAAAACCCAATCCTAAAGTTGATATGGAACACAAGAGACAGCAAATAATCAACGTAATCCCAAATAGAACGAGCAATGTCAAAGGTATCCTGATGTATGATCTCAAATTACAGCACAGAGCCATAGTCACAAAGCAGTATGGTAATGACACAGAACTAGATGTGTAGAAAAAATGGAATACAATAAAGACACCAGGAAAAAACTCACACAACTATAGCCATCTTATTTCTGACAAAACTGTAAAAAACATACATTAAAAATGACTGCCTCATCAACAAGATGGAAAAACTGAAAGTCCAGAGGTTAAAAAGATGAAACTAGATCCCTAACTCTCACCCTGCACAAAAATTATTTCCAAATGGATCAAGGACCTTATTGTGAGATTTGATATGCTGAAATTTCTAAAGGGATCCTCTTCAAGACTCAAGGACTTTGTCAAAAGAACTCCGGTCACATGGAAAATGATTCCATTAATCAACGAATGAGATTATAGAAAATTAGAAAGTTTCTCCACAAGAAAGGAAATAATCACCACAGTAAAGAGACAGTGTGTAGAATGTGAAAATATCTCTGCCAACAATATTTCAAAGTATCAATCACTACATTGAGCTGAGATTATGGTATTTTCACATATAAGGCCCTGGGTTCAAGCACCAGCACTATCGGGGAAAAAAATGGTGGCCTAGGGATATGGCCTAATTGAAAACTGTCTCAGTATTCATGAAGATCTAGTTTTGATCCCCAGAACCACATGAAACCAATTATATAGATACACCCCTGCCCTCTCAATGCCTGGAAGGTAAAAGGAGGAGGATCAACTGAAGGTCACTCTAGCTACCTAACTAGTTGGAGCCTGGGCTATACATGATACACTGTTTAAGAAAAACAAAAGACAAAAATTAAAGATTGAAGAAAACAAATAATCTAATCAATAAGCAGAGTAACAAACTATATAGACCAGTAGTTCGAGAACTGTGAGTCACTGCCCCTTTGGGAATTGAGCAACCCTTTCATACGGATCACATATTAGATCTCCTGCATATCAGATATTGACATTATGATTTGTAACAGTAGCAAAATTACAGTTATGAAGTAGAAACAAAACAATTTTATGGGTAAGGTTCACTACAACATGAGGAACTGTATATTAAAGGGTCAGGCCACTGGGAACGTTGAGAACCACTGGTAGAGACAGTTCTCAAAAGAAGAAATACAAATGGCCAATAAGTCCTGGAAAAGTGCTCGAGGTCCTTAGCCGCCAGAGAGATGCAAATTAAAACTGCTTTAAAATTCTCCTTCATTCCAGTTAGAGCAGCTTTCATCAAAAACAAAAACAAATGTCATGCCCCTACTAGAGGAGTGGGGAAAGGAGAATCTTTATGCATCCCTGGGAGGAATGTACACAGCCACTTCTACTATGGAACTTAGTTTGGAGATTCCTCCAAAAACTGAAAATAGAAATTCCATATGACCCATGACTCCATTCTGGGGTAGAAAAGATTCTCAGTCAACATGCCACAGAGATTCTTGCACAACCAAGTCAATTGCTGCCTTATTCACAACAGTTAAACAATGGGACCAGCCTATACTTCCATCAACATATCCAGAGATAGATAAAATGTGACAAACATACAAAATGGAACTTCATCAGCTATAAAGAAAAGTGAAACCATGATATTTTCAGGGAAACAGGTGGAAATGGAGACCATTGTGTTGAGTGAAGTAAGGCTGACTCAGGAAGACAAATACTAGACTGATCCTTTTGTATTTAAAACCCAGATTTAAGTATGTGCGAGAGAGAAACAGCTAAGAATAGAAAGAAGACCGTGAAACTGGCAGAAAAGATCTGAAGTGGACAAAAAAGGTGAAACACACATGACGTGACAGCAGAAGGGAAGAGCATTTGTTGGAAGGAAAGGAACTAACAAAAGAGTGGAGAGCGTAGAGGGGAAGGAGCTGAGTACCAGTGAAGTGTGATGATGGTGGCCTACATCCATGAGAATGTGACAGTGAAACCCATTTCTTGTATTCCAACAGACTATTCAAGAACAATGTTCCAAACGTGCCTATGAAACACTCTCATGCCTAAGACTCAAAGAACATTGCAAAGGGGGAGAACAGACTGAAAGAACAGGAAGAGCAGGGGATTTGCTTCGAGAGTTTTTTTTTCTCCTAGAAATGTCAGAAGCTACACCCATTAAGTCTAACCAGTATGATTGACTGGACAGGAGCTGGGCAAGTTCGTGACAAGGTGGACAGAAGACAGCCTAGGAGGTTATATAACCCTATGTAAAGAGCTCCAGGAAACTAAGGAATGATGACAGTGGAAGAAATAGTCCTCCCTAGTGAAGAGCAAGCCAGTTGGTTATCTCATATCAAATGGCCATCCATGAGAACAACAATATAAATGATTGTGTGTGTGTGTGTGTACATATATGCATGTAAAGACAATTAATAAAGAGGAAATGCATTTAAAAAAAGCAAGGAGAAGCATATGAGAGGATTTGAAGGGAGAAAAGGGAAGGGAGAAATAATGTAATTGTATTACAATTTCAAAAGGAAAATAAAAATTTAAAATCCTCAAAAATTACTCTCAAATCATTCATACACACACACACACACACACATATGTATATATATAGTATTCATCTTTTAAGTGTCCTACTCATCCATCCACTCTGACTGAGTCTTAACCTCTGGGAAGTTAGCAGGAAACTACCCTATGTTGACAGGATGTTCCAGACATGAAAACTCTGGGTCATGGTGCATGGTCCTCTTTCATTTTATAACATACTGCCTAATGGTTCCCCAAAGTAGAAGGTAGAAATCGCACACTTGTGACCAGGCTATGACCCCCTTCTTAAATCTTTGTCAACATTTATTATTGTCAAAGTGCAGCCTTTACCACTCTGGTAGATATAAAACTTTATTGTTTT